GACGAAGGACTGATAGCAGAATTATCCCACAATACTATGAGTAGGACTAACATTTCCATTGAATTACACACATCCTTGCTTTCCCAAAAGTTGTTCCCATCCCGGCTGCAGTTTCGACCTCGCATCAACTGGTCTTATCAACATCCCCAGTGGGAGTCGAACCATAACAGGGCAGCATGTGAGCTTGACACGTTAACCACTCGGCCACATTGGCACCAGTGCCCCTGGTACTGGGGGGCACCAGCACTAAAAGAGCAGGAAATATAATGATATAATTAGATAACTATAGGACGACTTGGTTGTTCCTTTTTACTTAAAAGTAAGTAATTTTATACTTTTAACCAGGAGGTTTCAATACTATTTGTAGAGATTTAATATGAGCCTTGGTCAGCATAAGTCGCTTAGTGATGAAGGGCTAGTAGTTGATTTTTTTCATAATAATACAAGTATGCTTTACAATGTCATCGAATTTCATCCCTAAAGGCTCCCAACGAAAAGAGACTCGAGTTTATAATTTCTATATGTTACTAACACCTAACACCATAATTCGGTCACAGGGTAGACATGACCTTCAGAGCAAACCCGGCCTCTACAATACTATGCTTATAGTGAAATCGTCGGTGATGTAAACTTGTATTTGTCATTTCAATCGACTACGTAACTCACATTCATGATGAGTAAGTCTCGATGCTATCCATAGATAAAGTGACAGTGTAGCGAAGTAGTAACATGCCGGAATTGTACGTGGTACCGCGGATGGTTCGATTCTCGTTATCAGTGTCGGTGAGACCAGTTCAAAACTGGAGCCCATCCCGGATGAAAACAATTTTGGGAGGAAGGGCCACCTGAAGGTGAAGATCATTGTGAGACCTGCTACTCAACCAACAAAACTTATGGAACGGCCCACGTCATGAAGGTGGCTGAACTCGTAGACGGACGATGGGTATTTTCGAGGTTTGGTAGGGATTTTTGAGGTGGTGTAAACGAGCTTCCGCGCAAATTAGCCGAGCATTGGCTTCTGCATAATCGACTCGACAGGGAAATGCTGAAATGGTCAGAACAGCCACGGCGACCAATTACCCTTGCTATTCAGCGACGAAGGCCAACTCAGAATCGATAGAGTGCTTACAGCGCGACCATACCATAGCGTGTCATGAAGGTAATAATGTGGACCATCGCCAGAGAGTTCCCTATCATATTAATAACGGCCAATTTTGAGAAATATATTAATAGGTTTTTTTCTTCGTAATAAATCAAATAGAGCCGCTACCCACGGTTAATGGAACTAGCCATGGCTACGGTCAGCCTGGCTTTAATGAGTCTACTTAGGGTAAAAACTATTTCTGATAAATTAGGGTCAACATCTCAATGCCAAGCAAAGCACTATCTCTAAATACTAGTTGGAACAAAAGAAAAATGAAGACAAACGATATCTTTCATCGGTAATTTTGGGGAAAATTCGAGATTGTCGAGCCTCGAAAGCCTCTGAGCCGAGCAGCTCATAGCAGACGAGTGAAACATTCGGTTGTGGGTGCTATCGGATGTGTGATTGTAGGATGTTTTTCTTGGATAGAAAAGGAGCTACAGAGAAAAAGGCATTAGTGTAAGCGTAATCAGCCTCGCCGTTTGAGACTGTTCAGTTGTATTCTCTCTTCCTGTCCCAAAATCTGCAGCCCTGTTCGACTCATCTTTCTTCTGGCTGCACCTACAAGAGAGTGGAACACAGAAAAAAGGGAGTTTCGGATCCGGTAGGTTTGTCTGCAGGGAAGGGGGCAGAGAACAGGACTCAACCCAATGGCTGGTCGGAGGGCGGTACTTGCGCGAGGCCCGCACCAAGTGGCATGATGTTCGGCTGTCCCAGCTGAGCTGGGGGTGGAGGTGGTACTTGGCCTGGGCCAAGGGCAAAGCCGAAGCTAGGCGACATGTGCGCTGGCATTTCTACGCGCGAGCGAATGGTCGGTAACCCTGGCTGCATGGGCATCATTGGCATGGGCATTAAACCAAGGCCGAAGGGTGGTGACTGAGCTATCGGCGCCGAGATCAGGGGCTGCGGCAAGTCGATGAGTGGCCGAGGTGGGGGCTCGATCAGTTGGCCTGGCAGTAGTAACCGTGGCGCCGTCTCGATGGGGATGACACTGGGCGGCTGTTGCTGGGTGACGACAATGGGCTGCTGTCGCTGGACCATTAGACCAACGGGCAAGATGCGCGGTGGAGGAGGCGCTGTCTGTATCAGGCGGAAGTCGCGTTGCCATGGCAATACGGTGGAGGGTGACTCGAACCGGGCCACCTCGGTGGTGCGCATCCTTGATTCCGGCGGAGTGGCCTGCGTCGAAGGCGCCTTTTTCGAGATTTCAGTTGTAGTCATCGCCTCGGAGGCATGGCGATTGCTTGGGGCCACCTCCGCCACTGCGAAGTTGATGGCCGTCCGAACGTCGGCCAGAGGTACTGTGGCCTCATCGTCCATGTCAAGGCTGCCGGGTCTGCGAGACAACGACAAGTCGTTCATGAGTGGCCAGGGCCTACTGTTTTCGAACGCTAGAGCAGAGCTTGCCTGGGGCGGCAGAAGGATGGGGCCATCACGTAGGCGTGAGAACGTTGGCCTCTCCAGGTCCCGGGGTCCCTGTACCATTGGCATTGCGATGGTGTCGGTGAAGAGGCAAAAGGCAGCCAGAAGCAATGCGATGCTTCTGGGCCTGGGATGTGGTGAGGCAAAGATGCAATTCGCCCTCATTGGTTATGTGCGAGTGGAGCGGAGCGTATGGCTGGTCGAGTCCTGCGGCAAACTGAGGCGGTTGTCGACTGCTCTCGGGGCGAACTCGAAGTTGACCTCACTCGCTGTGTAGTGGCTGAGTGAAGCGAATTCGGTCATTTGATTGGTCAACGTCAGGTTACGTAATCCTAACAGTCCGACCCAAATTCAGCTCATTTTTAAGCGGCATGTTTGGTATGGGAGGCCGATCAAATGATGCTACGATCGATGCATCTGCGCATATCATCTCGCATCGATTCCGTCTAACTCTTACCAAGCCAAGCCCGTTTTCTGCGCCACTACTCGTGGCCAGGTTATAATTTGCCCTCCATGAGCCTTTGGTCGGCAGTTCAAGCCAAGGCCAGATTGTATTGGTTGCGTCGGTGGGTGGAGAACGATTTGTTGAGACGAAATTCAATATAGCTACTCTGATCTTGACAGTTGAAATAGTCTACATGTTCCTCCCAAACAAGTCT